CTTTTTAATGAAGTTTGGCGCAATGATCGGAGCTTGGAATTCGGCAATGAATGATGGTTGTTTCAGCCGCAGATGGTCATTAGTTTATGAAATATTTAATTTTTAGTGCCGAGGAAGTTTCGAACACAAACTTTTATTGTATTTCGTTAATGGCTAATCCAGACCCTACAAACCACATACGTAATACTGCGAATTCTTGTCGTACTTGTCTAGATTTTTTGTTGGTATCTAGCATACGTAGCTTTTTAAAAATTCGATTTATAAAATTTTATAAAGTATGCGATTCGTCCGTTGCAAACTTATAGGCATTTTACGTAACTATTTCGATATCGACGCTTATGTATACCAATGGGAGCTTATTCCCGTTTATTCTTATCATCTGTCTTAATAAAGACGACGTATTAAATATCTTCCCGCAAGCGACCGCGCAGATGGAAATGCAAAGAAAACGTACATATATATATATATATATATATATATATATATATACACAACATACCTCGTCACGGCCCGATTAATTTGCGTTTTACGAACAAACAAGGTGCCTCTTTTAATTACCTGTCGACAGATTGATCGATCGCGGAGTGCTTCTCTCTGTCGCAATCAGATAACGACTTAATGCTTCGCGCAAACCATAGTGAATCGCCTCGCTGACCGTTCAGGTTTTTCCGTTCGAGATTTCCGATATCTACCCACCACATAACCGTGTGCACACAACGTCGTCTAACCCAGACGTAGGGAAAAGAAGGTTAATAATAATAATTTCAACCGATAACCAAATCGAGATCGAAATTCGAACTCTGTTCCCTTCGAAATCAGAAGATTCTCAGAGATTCAGGTATATATATATATATATCTACCTGTATCACCGATGAACCGATCGATTATGATCCCTACGCGAGACAAAATTTCGTCGTTTTCTTCATCGATCTATACAGAATCTTTCCCAGCTATGAAACACATATTAGATGTAAATATATCCGGTTGCAATTGACGAAGAAATGTCAAAGTGCCATCTCGATAACAATCAAGTAACGAACAGTTATGAAAAAAGTTGGATCGCGAAGCAAAGGCAAAAGGGGAGGAAAATGGAACACTGAAAGGAGAGAAAGAAAAGGTAAAACGAGAGGAAAAGAAAGAAAAAGGCAAAATGAGAGGAAAAGACAGGAAATGAAGAAGACTGGGTGAAAGAGGGAGTGAGATAGGTAGCGTCGTTTTCTCGTAGATCGTGGGAGGATATTCGCGGTGGGACCGTACGCGTTTCAATCTGTCCCCTGGTTCGCGCGCGTCTTTGATCCAGGGCGGCCGTCGGCGGCTGGCGTTGCGGCGCGCACCACGGAACCCGTAACTCACTTGACGAGGTCGCTCGTAAAGTTGCCCCGAAAGTCGGAGCTTGGCCGGCAGACGCGGCAGCCAGCCATCCCGCCGGTTCGTTCCGGCGACTCGTCATCCGTTTCGTCAGTCGTTTAACACCGCCGTTCGCCGTGTCGAATAAAAATACGCGGATGACAGAGACCACACGTACCGCGCTCGCTCGCGAACGGGACTTGTTTCCCTGTAACGTACCAATTAGCCGACGTGCAAACTCAGCTTCCGCTAAGCGAGGTAGGAGAAGGGCCTCAGTTTAGTTTTGGGAGTCACTGAAATTTATGCCAAATTAATATTCGGTTTAACTAATTCTTTCAGTACTTGAAAATATATTTACTAACAAGGGAACGCACGGAAGTGCTCTCCTCCGATTTTTGATGGAATTTTTTATGGCCGTTAAGCAGTCAAACATGAGGGATGCGTATATTTTTTTATCGGCTCAGACGCGAGTTTAAGGGGTGAAACCACCCCTCGAAGTTACGATACAAATTATATTTTGGATAATTTGTTAGCAGCATATTATTCTGTATAAAAAACAGCGAACCTTGTCCATTGGAAGTTTTCACCAAGTTCCACCCTCTTAAAGTCGCGTCTTAGCCGATAAAAAAAATACGTATCCTTTATTGTTGACTGCTTAACAGACATAGGAAGTTTCATGAAAATCGGAGGGGGACACTTCCGTGTCTTCCCTTGTAAGAGGACCTCCTTCTATGCCACTTGGTGAATTTAATTGAAGTACTTCAAAAAATGTTAAAATGAATGTTAATTTGTGGTACAAGTGGCAGAAGACCCTTTCCCTAATATACAGACTTCTTTCGATTATTGTCCAAGCATTATCCCCACCACTGGGGGAGGGTGGGGGGTGTAGAACCTGTCAAGCGAATACTTTGTTGCCAAAGCTCAGACTTCAGGCAAAAAACGAAACGAAGGTCTGAAGCACTTCTCCCTATACGATTATTGTCCTGGCGCGGACCTGAGTTCGGGACGATAATCGAGAGGCGTCTGTACAGTGAAGGTATATAGGGCGATTCATAAATGCATGTCAATATTTCAGAGGGTAAATTAACACATTAATATCACTAAAAAAATATCCTATGTACCTTAGTTGTTGGAGAACACGTATACACGATAAAAGAAAAACGCTATTTTCATGCAGAAAAACGTTCGACTCGATTACATTCCTTCTGCCTAATTAAGTAGATACTTCTATACTTATACTCAGGCATTGATAGAATTGTTAGAGTTACCTTTTTCGTAAAATTGTACCAGTCCAATAAATTTGTACGCTACATCGAGATTCACTAAAATACGTCCCTTTTTATAATTGCTAATCACACGTACTTTCCTAGTCCATAATCGCTCGATTTCAATGCTGACTTTGTGACATACAACGAATGGCGGAATTAGGTACCATCAGTCCACATTAATTCGCCATCGATTAAGTTGTTCCTGGTTCGGTGCTGATGCTGTTTCACGTGTGGATAACGTACGAAAAAAAAAAAAAGAACAACGTTGACACTGGACCGACCGGCGATGAGGATTCTCGACGGAGCAACCGGTATAAAACGAGAAAAGCCCTTCCCTTCTGTTCATCTCGAGCCTATACGGCGAGCAGAATCGTTTTAACGAGCGAAAGTAACATTTTAAGCGTGACGCGCGAACGGAATCGCGTTAAGTGAAATACGTTTAAGACCGTAGAGACCGTTAGGGGATCGCCATGCTAAAACGGCTGGTATTTATTATTAATTTATTCGCGATAATTACGAATTACCGGGTTAGGTGTGCGGGAGCACACCTGCTGACTAGAGCTTAAAGCTAATCGGGCGCGAACGCCCACCAGAAAGATATCGTTCAGTTTCCATTCTAGCGATTAACCGGGTGAAATTCGTTCCGATTTACTCCCACCTATTATACAGGGCGACCCAAAATAGGTGTAAGTTCGTGAAAGTAAGAATATATCTCTGACCCACTGTAGATAGAAATTCCAGAAAAATTTTTCAACCTAAGCATTACATGTCGATAATATGTGATCGAATGTTTCTGTCAATTTTACATCCATCGTGGATGAGATCGAGCAATGTTAAACACATGATGGATCGCGTGAAAACGTTTGTCGACGACTGCCGTACGTGGCGAACGTATCCTGACGAGTTACACTCTCTCTTTCTCGTGGTCTCGGTTACGTAACTCCATTCGAATGATCGTGGGGGCAGAGGCAATTAACGACAAAGTTGACTCGGTTGTATCGTGAATAGATCGTGTTTCGCGGGACGACGACCGCGCGCCGCCCGTAGCCGGGGCATTATCCACGAATTACCGCCGACGATAACGGCAATTTTCTTTCACGGTGCTGGTTTTACTCGTAAAACATCCCCGGGGACTCTCGACGCCGCTGAGCGGTCCCTCTTGACTATCTTTCTCTCTGTATTTACGTTGCGTTTACCGGTTCCACGCAGCTTGGAAACCTTTTCAATGTGCCTACCTAGCCACTGAGATTACCCGCACGCAACTACGAGGGTTTTCTCTCGGCTCGATCCACACATCGTGCAGCAATTAATTACCGCCCGATCTACGTATCCATTTATCGGCCATTAACGATCCCCCCTGTTTTTCCTCTTCATTCGCAAATGCAACTTCTTATCGTTCCCTATTTTTTTTCTTCTTTTTTTTTTTTTTTTTACGCGTTCCAATGTCTGGATAAGCACCTTCGGTGCACCTTCAGGGATATATGTTTTCGTCGCGAATGGTCGAATCCTTGGCTCGTTAGCGCGAGAGGAACTCTGCCCCCCCCCCCCAAAACTCGGTCTGAAATCGACCAGCCCTGCTATTTTAGAACAAGTTTCTGGGGCTGTCGTTGGAAAAACCGAGCCGTGAAAGACAGGATCGCGACAAACGATGCGCGGCTTGAAGAGCCTCGTCATTCGTCGTCGACGTCGTGTGTATCGTAGACGTGTAATACCTAGACCTCGCGTCATCAACCTGTATTTTTCTAACGACGCGTGGCACGATAGAGAAGTTTTCGTTGTCTGGGAAATAGAGAAGTAGAGGGAATGAAAAGGAATGGATGTCAGACGAAGGCGGAATTGTGACCTAAAGCAATGATGTAAGGATATAAAGTTTACTCGCCTAGCAGAATCATTTTCGTCTTCTACCGCGTCTTCCAACTGTCCGCCATATTAAAATATGGCCGCTTAGAAAATTATTTGGAAGCACTGTATGAACATTAACACAGCCTTTCTATATTACTATTAGAAGTCATGCCAGAATAATGCAAGGTTATATTTTATTTTTTAGCGTAATATATATTTAATATGGCCGCCTAGAAAACAATCGAAAACAATTTGGAAGCAGTCTGTAAACGTGGTGTGAACACAGCCTTTCTATAAACTCCTCTCGGTTATCGTTTGGCTCGATCTACACGATTATTGTCCAAGCGTTACGCCCATTACTGGGAGTTTTCTCGTTTCAGGGAGACGCGCAGTCTATATTTCTATGTTTATGCTTGTTCCCCTTTCTCCCGTGTGGCATGTACGAACCGAAAGAGCGCGAAATTTCGATTTTCGACAAGATCTATTTATCGAAACGGAGAAACAGTTTTCAAACCGTTTGTTTTCCGATTGCGTGCGTTTCAGAGAGGGAACCGAGCGTATCCGGCGTAGCCCGGGTCGCTTCCGCGCCGATTCAGGAGTCGATCGCCGCGGACGACGACCCGGAAACGGACGACACCGGAAGCACCAGCGGGAAAGCCGCGTCCCCCGTCAATCCTCTCCTTCAGGAGCGTTCCAACTGCGAGGAGCTGAGACACGTGGTCTGTCATCTGGAGACGAAAGATCTCTGGGACAAGTTCAACGAGCTGGGCACCGAGATGATCATCACGAAGACCGGACGGTAAGACTAATGGTTTATTTTCCTGGACGATTCCCGATCGAAAAAAAAATATGAATAAACACGAACAGATATAATATACATAAAAATGTATTTAACGCTAGGGCATGGATCACCGGAAATATGCCTAACAAATTAATACTTCAACTTGCTATACTAATTTACCAAATGTTCTCATGAACAATTTGTAAATTATCCCGAGGAAAATAGAAAAGAAAATCACGTTAAAGTATTGGGAATCGAACGTTTCCGTCGGTTCTATGCACATTCGTGCGTAGAACAGATTCTGTACTAACGGCCATAAGTATGGGTACCAGGTCTGGTTAATTAATGAAAGAGAAAAATATTGCTCCACAAAGATTCCACGAATTGCACTGAAACTGATATTGGAAATCATTTCTGTACTTATGTACTGATTTCGTCACTTTTATTCTATCTTAAGAAGATAAGGAATTACTCTGTTCTATTGATTATGGGATTGAACGAGGAGAGATGTTATCAAGTTTTGGTACGAATGTAACTTAACAATACACAACAGTTTTACAACGATTTTAAATACAACGATACGAACAGTGGCACAAGACAACTCTATATAAAAATAGTTATACAAATAGTTAGCACTATTTCATATTATATCCTGGACAATCAAGAATTCTGGTCCCATACTTTCGCCAGATAGTGTACTTCGTTCGAAGGAAACAGTTATTTATATTTGACAGGTAGAGAGAAACAATCGATTCTCCTTCCCTCGCGTACACGCACACACGCACACGTAATACGGTCGGGAGAGAGCTCAACGCCGAAAATTCAATATTCGATCGTGAAAAAACTGACGCGAAAAGAAGCAATTACCGCGAGGCGAGAGTTAAAAAGAGGTTCGACGAAGGAAGCGCGGTGGGCAGGCAGGCGACCGGTTAAATTGCTATATCGAGCCTCGGTCAATTAGTCGGACCGGTGGCGAGCCAACAGCGAGCGTGGTCTGTCTCATGCCGGGTGTAAAGTATGTATGTGTTACATATACACCAGATCCTTGAAACACGCGGTGGCGGATCGAGGCTCGATTTTTTCCCCTGTCGAGATAAACTTGAATTACTTGTTTCGCGAACGATACTGACCACTGAGTCGTAGATCTAGATCAGTGGAAACAAAAGACTGTTTCGAAAGAATTGCAATGGAAACGCGTCGAAAAATATCTGGATCGAGGAGCCCAGGAGTTAAGGCCCCTTTCCTCTTTGGTGATCCGAAAGAAAAGATAATATTTACTCATCTCTTTGTTAAACAAAGTATAGAAGATATGGAAAAAAATTCCTGGCCTTTATTTATTACGATTCGAGTAAATAAATAAATTTTCCGTTTCAATATTCTTGCATGGTGGGCGGCGCTGATCGAGTTGACCCTCGACCCCATTTCTCCCTATAAGATTATTGTCCCGGCGCGGATTCGAGTTCGGGACAATAATCGAGAGGAGTCTGTACAGATTATTATGTACGAGCAAAATTTTGTTAAAATTATTATGAAAGTGTAAGTGAACATATATGCACACGTACATATACAATTGTTTCGTGATATTTTCAAAGTGTTCGTTAATGTAAATCTTTAACCGTTTAACAAAATTTTACCCTACTTGGCAAAAAATATGCTTATATGTACACAGTAATCTATAACCGTAAAATTCTATTATTTCGATAACTGTCATGGAACTTATACAGAGCCTAAAAACTAACGGTTTTATAGAACTGATATACGAACCGTAACTGAAACTGATACCAGTCTGAAATTTAGGTTCTTCATAACAATTATTCACAATAAACTATTCTGCATAACTGTTTCGCGAATTTAAATCGAAATCATAACAGTTTTCAAGCCCTATTTTTTCGGATCCCTAAAGGGGAAAGGGGCCTCAAGTTCCACAGGACGATTCTCGTCGTCGGAGTACGCGTACAGAGAGAAATGGGGATGATAGCGCGCATATATACCCAGGGGGTGGAAATGGAAACGGAAAGGGAGCGGCTGGTGGAACGAGAGAGAGAGAGAGAGAGAGAGACAGAGAGGGAAGACTCGGCGGACGCGCACCTAATTGCCCGCCACGACTCGACGCGGTGACGGTAACATCCAAGATCTCTCTCTCTCTCTCTCTCTCTCTCTCTCTCCCTTCTCCGTGGTACTCTCTCCCGCAGTCTCCCGAAGGGGTTCCGCTAGCCCGCTGCACGCTTAGTCGCGCGTTAATAATTAGATCTGCGTCGCGACGATGCTCGTCGCTCCCTTCGGCCGTCAACTTAGCAATCCTCCCCTCCCCCTAGTTTCTTCGATCGTTCGTGCGCCGCGACCCTTCGCCACCACCACCCTTCTTCTGGGGGGTCGCTCGAAACGATATACATCCCCTCTTTCGCAATTTTCTCCGTTCCACGGTCTGTTATTTGCAGAGACTTAAAGGGCAGAACCGGAGACCAGCCCCTTCCGTTCTTCGATCGTCCTCCCTTGCCCTCCCTTCCCACGGGCGCGCAACGTTTATGGAAGAAGGGTGGCGGTGGGTGTATAGTCGCGACGGTTTTTCGGCAAATTTGAACAAATTTGCGCGCGTCGAAGGAAATAATTCCGTTGTGGTGCGCGTATCACGAAGGAAATAAGAGACTGTTCGCTCTGACTATGTCTTTCTGGAGGTCGGCGGGGGTAGGTCGAGGGGAAGGCAGTTTGAGTGGGGGGGAGGGGGAACTACCACCACCACTACCTTCACCACCGAGTTCAATTCATTAACAAAGGACGGCTTGATAAATAAAAGCATTACTCACACTCGTGGCGCTGGCGGGATGAATGCATACCGAGTCGACAAGGACCGAGGAGAAGACGTAGATAAGATCGGCGGGTGTCCCCGCGTTTTAGTGGTCGAGCAGCGGGGGGCCCGACACGGTATTAATGTTTGGCCTCCGAGGCAAAACATTCGCGCCAGCCTCTCATCCTCTGTCCCCCTCCCCAACCCTTCACTAACCCCCCTTTCCCGTTCCCCTCGACTGCTCGCCACCGCGACCGGCTGCCCTCTTTGCCCCACTGCGCACCAACAGCGTTAACCCTAAAATCGTCCCGAACCAGTGTGACCATCGGCTAGTACTTTGGTACTGGACCTAGTATGTTTTGTACGATTTCTAGTGTTTTGGCACGTTCACCAATGGATATAGTGCTTTCTTCCTTCCGAGTAAAAATAACAACACAAAGAAATATAAATGTAACCCTGGAACGCCACTCTGGCGTTATCGGCGATCCCGAAAAATTTGAATCTTGTCAACAGACATGAAAATAAACATTGGAATATTCGACTTTTCTTTACCTTTCCTTTATTCTTTCTTTAACAGAAATCACACTGTGCAGTTATTGTTTTCTCTGGCGTTTAAAGAAGAATTTAAGGAGAATAGTTCGAAAATATTAAATATTAAAATTCTATTCTGGGACCCCGCGACTCCACGGTATTATCGACGCCAAAAAATGGAAGGGTGTCGTTCTAGGGTTAATACAGTTGATTCTGATTATTTGGGACATATGTTGGGACCAGCGTCCTTTGGCCCGATTAAACGGCTGTCACAATACATAGTACATATATACATACACAACACATTCAATTAAAATTGTTCTTTGAGCTTTGTCCCAAATAAACGGAATTCACTGTATATCACACACACGGAATCAAATTGACACTAACCAATGCAAACATATTCTTCGCTATTCAAACACTTCTCGGCACGTTATAAGATCGTTACAACAATAAAACCAAGTGGAAGAATGAAATATTTTAATACCACTTACCGTTCACCGATACACAGCGTAATTTCGAAGCACCATTATTGTAAAAATTTTTGCTGAGATATTCGAACACACAGATGTTAGTTTTATCCTTTATGGAATAAAACGCAAGCACATGAGAAAACTTAGCACTTTTCCTTCGGATTTAGTACCTTTTTCCCGAGGGTTTCTACGCGTCAGTGTTTGTATGTGTGAATACTTTCTTCCACAGGCGAATGTTCCCGACGTGCAGAGTGTCGTTCAACGGACTGAAGGCGGACAGTCGTTACGCTGTACTGATGGACATCGTGCCGGTGGACAACAAACGGTACCGGTATGCATATCACCGAAGTTCCTGGTTGGTGGCCGGCAAAGCCGATCCTCCGGCGCCGGCGCGTCTATACGTACACCCGGATTCACCTTTTACGGGCGAACAACTACGAAAGCAGGTCGTCTCCTTCGAGAAAGTCAAGCTGACAAATAATGACATGGACAGGCACGGTCACGTGAGTACCATTATCTATGTACCCTCGCTAGCAAACTCGGCTTCCGTTAGGATAAAATGTGACGTGTGGGAGAAGGGCCTCTTACCATGCTCCTACCTGTTGGTATTTGGAAATCTCCAACAGGCGCCTATCAGATTTTTTACAGAATTTTTGCGCGTCATGAAAGAGGGAAAACAGAGGAAAAACCAGTAATCCGAATTTTCCCTATTACTACCCTCCTGATCGAGATATACGGTTGATATATAGCACGGACTATTTCTTGTTGACAAGCTATCGAATGGTATATTAAAAATCAAAATCGGTCTAAGGGCACTTTTGACCCCCTTATCCTACTATAACCTTTCTGCCAAATTAACATTCGATTTAACATTTATTTCGATACATCGAATAAATTTACCAAGTGGTAGAACACTTCCTTTACGCCGCTTTTTCCCTGAATGGAAGCCGAGTTTGCTTCTTAGTGACTTACGTACTTTCTTTCGATCTTTCGCCTCGTAATTTTCGTAGGAAATTCGGAAAAATTCGTAGGACTTTCTTTGTTCAATTCATCGAGGATTCGAATCGATTCGCGTTCTCCTGTGTTCACCGGGATCGTCTGGTTGTTGGTAGCGCTGTCGTGAGTCTCTCCTGGGTATTTCTTCTTCTTGTGGCACAATGACAGGGGAGGAGGGGAGGTTCCAAGGCTGTACGGCAGCCCAGGGTCCTTAATTCATCGGATGACTGACGTAAATAGGAACTCCGATTCGGGTCCAGGCAGCGGCGCGGGGTTCTCTCTTCACGGTGCTCATTTGGTATTCAGGGTGTTATACACGCTGCCAGACGAAGGGCAAAGTGATTCTTTTGAATGGTTTAGCCACGGGGAATGCGGTTATCGTCGAACCACCTAATTCGAATGCTTCTGATTCGTATATGCTTTTTCCACCAGCAGAGATACGATCCTCTCTCGCGCGTGTACGCGAACGAAAAGGTCGAACGATCGTTGCTCTCGCGTGTTCTGTTATTCGGTGATCGGTCGTTCCGACCGTTTGCGTACGGTTTATTTTTGCGAACGGATCCCTCGCCCTAACCTCGGAGAAGGAGTAGGCATCGACCAGGCGTTTTATATCCTCTAATAAATCGCCGAACGATTTGCAGCTGGTGTTGAATTCGATGCACAAGTACCAACCGAGGATCCACCTGGTGAAGCGACCGGACTCGGGGAACGCCAAGCCGATAACCGACCTCGAGAAGGAGCCTCACAAGACCTTCGTATTCCCGGAGGCCATATTCACCGCTGTCACCGCCTATCAGAATCAACTCGTAAGTGTCTTTCGTCTACCGTTTTCTACTTCCAATCATTTGCACGCTCCACACGCCTACCCCCATGTTACTCTTCCCCCTTTCTTTCATCCTCTTCCGTTACTTGTTTTTCCATTTTTCTTGTCGCGTGGTCCCTCTGGGACTGGTTCTCCCTTGTTTCTCGGTAGCTCATCATTTCCGGGCCCCTCGGACAAACGTTTCTCTCTTCATGGACGCAAACTTTCTTCTCTCCTGTCTCGTTCCGGCGACGATCAACTGTTTAACACATTCGAAGAGGGCTGTAATCGTTTCCCGACTTCAAGCCGTGGAGAACTGAATTTTTCTTTTTTCTGCCATGTTTTTAGTGCCAATATGTCATTATAAGTATTCCAAAAGACAATAATAGAAAATGTTTTTCATCACATTCTTTTATGGAAACTATAACACCCGTACAGCCGAGGGATTTTTTGTTTAGGTAAATCTTTAACACTAGAACTACCGATCGGTGGATAAACATGAAAAACTTTTGAAAATTTAGAATTTGACTAATTTCTTGAACCTGTCAAGCGCATACTTTATTGCCGAGGAAGGAATCCATTCCATCTTCGGGAAAGAAACGAATTTACGTCGGTCTGAAACATTTCTCCCTACAATCGAGCGTAGTCTGTAGTTCCCAAACAACCGCGTGATTCGCCCATCTTGGGAACTACAGTCCCCACACGTACCGAATGTGTTAATAGTTTGGAATACTGATACGCTTTTAACCCCGTTAGCCTGTGCGCGATTTAGCAAACGAAGTCTCGCGGTTGATTTAGCCCCATGCGACGATTCCTCTTCTTGGGCGCTTGGTGGTTCGGATTCCTGGTTTCGGAGCGCGAATACCGACCGAGCATTATCGTATTTTACGATAGTCGTTTAGGAGACGACTCGCGACCACGTGTGTGGTCCAACCCGCGCTCCGTCGCCGTTCGGCAAGTCGCGATGCCGCGCGTCTTTGCAGCGACGGTGTAGCCCCCGATTTTCCGACGGACTCTCCCGGCCATCCATCGTACGGGGCGACGGCCAAGAATCCTTTTCGCGCTTCTTTGTCCGAGAAAATCGACTCGTTTGTACTCGTGGCGAGGCTGCGACGAGGGAAACGCGACCGTAGACAAAAGAAGGATCAAGGGATGCACGATCAGAGAAACGGTCGTTTCTTCTTTTGCGATTCCGCAAGGGGAACAGAAGGTCTTCGATGAAGAGTAAAACCGAAGCTCGATCGACACTGGCGTCTTCAAAGAGCGCGCTAACGGGTGGTCCAGAGGGGGAGGACCAGTCGTCCCACCCTTCGTCGTAGCCGCGACAACCGCGAGAGAACGAACGTGGACTGTGTTGATGACGATGATGAGGTGCGAAGAGATGCCCCGGCAATTATCCCAGAGTCGGCGGCTTGCTACCTCCCCGTTTCCTTCGAACTCGTTCTTTTTATCCAGGCCCTCCCATACCCACTGCTTTTCCTTGTCTTCTGTTCACGCGACTTTTCCTTCCTTCCTTTGGGTTTCTTCGGGATTATTCGGGGTTGAAGCGTTCGACGTATTCCGGTTAACCAGCGGGCCTGACGTTGAGAGGTGCAGGATACCCAGACGCCTGGTGAACTTGCAAACAGAAGTCCCCACATGTGGGTTTATCAGAGGGATAGTGCTTGGAATTCTGAAGGGAATGGTATTTGTTTCAGCCGTGTATGACTGTTAGTTTAGGAGATATTTAACGTTGAAGTTGTAGCCAGGTGTTTTTGAACTGGTGGTACAACACTGATGATTGAGATAATCAATTTTCGAAATTCATTCGACGTGTGTTTAATCAAATTATTCAATAATAACAATCTAACCCCAAGAATGTTTACTATCCGGAGACGTAAACAAAGAATTACGTGGATTATCGGTGAACAAACGTTCACCATCGCGCTCGAAGGGTTTGACCGTAAAAGGTAAATCGAAACGCGAAGCAACGTATATAGGTAGGTAACTATCAAATCGAAGATTACTGCGGGAATGGTGAGACGTGGGGCACGATGAATTTTTCTCCGCGGTTTCGAAAAAGAACACCGGAATCTCCTGATTCGTCGCGGTTCGCACTCGGTGTTGAGTCGTCCTCCATCTCACAGTCGTCTCGGTCCTCGTCGTCTTCTTCGAGGGATGCGCTCGTTTAGCGTGGACCAACCGTTTTTTTTTCTCCTTCTTCCTTCTGGGGCGCGAGCTACTACGTATCGTCGCGGATGCTTTTTGTCCTTCCTGTTGTCTCTGCCCGGCGAGCTTCTCTCGTAACAACCTCCGAGACCGTCTCGATTCGTCTTTCTCGCTCTCGCACCGCACGTTATAATTCATAACTCTAACTGCCGCGTCCTTCTTTTCTACGACCTCGCTCGACTCGCCGCCGCCGCAGCAGCAGCAAGCAGCTATTCCTTCATCCGTTCTGCCAGCTCCTTATCGCCAGCCTATGACACCTTCTCCGGCTCTCCTCGGCTCTCCCCGGCTCTCCCCGGCTCTCCCCGGCTCTCCCCACCAGTGTGACCACCATTAGTATTTTAAACATTTTTTTTAGTACTCTAGTAAGTTCACCAACGGTAATTTCTTCCTTCCGAATAATAATAATAACAACAACAACAATAACATGAGAGTTAGATACATGAGTTTAATATTTTTCTCTCCGCCCACTCCCCTCATATATCACATTCAGCGAAACTCCGTTTGAGGTCGCGTGTCAACCCATAGAATAAATGGGGGGGCACAGTGGGGGTGGAATGGGAAAACGATTAACTCGATCTCGCGGCCAACATTGTTTCAACGTTGTCGGAGTTTGATGCTCACGCTCGTCGGAGCGGAAGGAAAGATCTGGAATGGTGCCAACGTCTTTGAAAGGGATTGTGTGCGGATTTCATCTGGCCGCGCTCGTACGCCGAAGCAGGCGCGACAAACGACAAGCGCGTGTCTTTCCCATGAGATCGTTAGGGAACATTCGCAGTGATGCGATTCCGGCTCTGTTTCTGATTGCCCTTCGTCGCTGATACGGTGAAACGAAGTTTCTTCGCGACACCCTTTAAAACGAAATAACTTTTTTCAAATTGCACCAGGTGACTTGAGCTTTTTTCGATTAAATTTACTTGGAATTCAAAAGCCAATGATATTTCTTTCCGCCGTGTATGGCCATTAGTTTATGAAATATTTAATTTTTTTCTCTGTCAATCGGACGAGAACAAAACGGTTCCGGGTGTATCGTTCGAAAACCGTCCCGAGACGACGCCGCGGCGTCTCGAGTAGAATAATTGCCGGGGTTGGTAATCGTAATCACGATCATCGCGCCGGAAAATTTCCCGCGGTAATAAATCACGGCTCGTTATCTTTATGCATAACTTCGCGCCTCTTATACACGGGGCCCAATTAGCTGGTCCGTCGCGTTGAAACAGGGGCAACTGTCTGCTAAGTCGTTTCACGTTTCGTGAGTTCCGGAGAAAACTAAGAAAGAGATGACGGACGGGGGTGGAGACAACGAATCGGACGACGGAGACAACATCGCGGCGGAGAAGAAGAAAGGAGGTCCAAGAGGGAGGAGAGGATAGGCGTCGAGTAGGCGTCGAGCGAGAGCAGAAGCAGAAGCAGAAGCAAAAGAAGGTGGAGAAGAGAGGCGGAGGAGGGAGTCGATGGTTTTAGTGGCTGCGGGCGACGGCGTCGGCGTGCACGAATGAAAGAAAACATAAATAATCGCGTTCGAACGAGATAGAGGCGAGAGCCCCGCAGAGGGATCGGTACGCGCGACGACGGAACCGAGCCAATCGAGAGAACGAATATCCTTTTCGCGATCTCTTCCGGCGACTCCTCGATCGATCGAAAGTGAACGATTCGTCCGACACGGCGTTGTATACTGGGCGGAGTAACTGGGAACATTGCTTCGATACTGCGTAACCAATGATTTCAGTGAGAAATGTTTCGGATACAAGGTAACTTGGAATAAATCGAAGTTAACCCTTTCGTTGCTAAATGATTTAATGAATACGAACAAAAATATTATTTTGTACTTTTGATCGAGAGCAATAGCCGTGGGTGCGAGCATGACAACGGCAACGGGCACTAAATTGTGCCGCGAACCGAACCGAACCGAACCGAGCGCGACCCCTGCTCCGATGAGCGCCCGCGCGTCTCTATTAAATCTATTATTAGCAGCGAGACGGGTGCGAAAGCATCCCTTTCAATTACCCACCACAGTTTCATTTTGCTCGGCGAAGCATCCGCGGGGGACAGGGCTAACCGAGGAGAAGACGCACTGTGTCCCCTTTCTTTTTCGATGCTGACCAGTCGTGAAATTGAAATATAATACTTACATATATGACGAACCGTTCGATCCGGATGGGCCGGTTGATATCATCTTGTGATCTTTCCGTGTGTTCCGGGAAGTTCTCTCGACTCGAAACTGCGCGTACGTCCATGGTGGGTATTGGCGTGCGCGAACTGAGGCACGCGAACCGTGAAGGCATGAAGAGAAACACACCGTGTGTCCAGAGCGTCGGAAATTCTTCCCTCGAGTCTGGAGAAACCGATCTGTCCCGTGAGAGAGACAAAGAGAGAGTAGCTCCGTCCGCCACCGCCGCGTTCGCAAATTCTCTCAATTTTCATCGTCGCCGAGATCGCGCAGTTGCGCGACGGACGGTAATTGGCTACCTGTCCTTCGATCGACGGACGCTTATCCGTCCTTAGGCACACGGCTGCGCGCCTTTGTCCGATCCGGCAGAAAATTATCCCCCCCCCCCCATGTGTGTCCCGAGACCTTGCCGACAAAATCTCACGATTTCGCGTGACGATGGCCCCACGAAACACTCCCTTTCTATTCTTTCTTCCGTTCGGAATCACGGTAAGCCTGTAGCATGGTGGTGCTTATCGATGATTTGTTCCGAGTGTACACATATGTATGCACAATTGCGTCGTAATACGCATAAAGGGGTAAACGAACTCGGATACTTCGTTCGAAAGCCGGGGCGTCGTGCTTCCGTCTTCTGCGCAACCGACACGACAAAAATCTGACATTATTTCTTACACTCGCGGTCTCTTGAACATCGGCTCTATCCTAACCTCGACGGAGCAGCACCGAGTAAAATATTCTGGCGGGACGCGGCGATGGCTGGGAACGATTTATTCGTCCCGACGATGGTTTGGCATCGACCGAGAGAAAAGAGCCGCGGCTCGCGAGCCAATTTATCACGGGGCGAGTGCACGACGCAGGGAGCGTTCATCGTGGACGCTGTAAATCGGTCTGGGAACCGGTCCAACCGTTTGGTCGAGCCGTGTCAACGGAATCGTATAACTTCTTCGCGGTTCGACCGTTCCGTTACCCGTACGCCCCCCCCCCTTCCTTTCAATTCTCTCGCTGCCCCGTTTGAAACGTCGGTGAAAGACTTTCGACGCAAACGCAATCGGTTGAGAAAAAAACAGGCCACTAACCTTTCTCTCGAACTGTCCCGGAACGAGAAGATGAACGCGTCGAGTTCCTAAATTAATCGTGGCTCGTCGCTGGCGATGCTCGACGATAGATACGTAACCGAACCACCAGAGTTGCATTCTGTTAAAAGGAAACTCACGATATCAAAGAGGAAGTCACAGTGGCCACCACGGGTCTGTCGTCTGAAACAGCCGGACGGCCGCGAGATATTAGCTCGGCCGGTAGTGTGGGGTGATCGTAAAACGACGAGAAGAGGCGAACGAGCCGGAACGCCGGGCAAACGTTGGGGGGACGGGGGGGAAGCTCGCTGAACGGAACAGAATGGAAAAGGGGAACGGAACGGAATGGAATGGAACGGAACGGGAACGACGTGAAGTACCTAGACGACGAGAAGGACGAAGAGGAGGAGGAGAAGGTGGAGGAGTACGACGACGACGACGACGACGACGACGACGCTGACGGCGGAGGTGGGCCAGATGTTTGGCTAATGATGTCAGCGGAATCGTAACTAAAACCGAGGCAGCTCCAGGCTTAGCGCGGCTTAGCCACGGCTTTGAAGGAAAGAGTCTTATTACCAGGCTGCACGTGCTGCTCGTGAGCGCGAAACCGTAGGGTAATTGGACCACCCACTTGACACCGACTCTGTGTCGTCCCTCTTTTTTCCCCTCTTCTAACCTCTCCATCCCGGCTTTTCAGAGGAGCGGCTCCCTTTACCGAACAAATAAACGCTCCTCATCTCTTAGTCTCTCTCTCTCTCTCTCTCTCTCTCTCTCTGTTTCTCTTGGAGTTTTGCTTCTGCGATGAAACGACCTTCCGGAAATCATCGTGATCGCCACACGTTTGGGCGCTGTCCCGAATCACGATGGGCCAATAACGACGAATCTAATCGCTAAACGTTTCCAATTCCTCTGACGTTCGAAGGTCGTGATTGTTGATTCTATTCGTCGGTGGAGAGTAGAGGAATCTGTTTAGGGGCGAAGGGAGACGAGGAACAACGGTCCTCGAGGGGTTTGCGGAAGCGAACAGGAAAAAGGATCTTGTCACCCGGCTAATTGAACGCGTGACACAGTTTGATCGGGGCCACCTGTGCATCCGCCGCGTCGTGGGTGGCCCGTCGTTGGGGTAACGCGAAACGCCCCGTCTCAGGGCCGTGTGGACGCGACTTAGGCTGGATTTCCTTTAGCTTCCATACGCTGCGCCGCGCAACGGGCGAAGCGCTCAGTTTCGAACAACGAGCAACATACGAACTAAATTAGTCGGATGCATCGAACGAATCGATCGAGATATCGTTCGGCTAGTCTCCGGTTCTCCCCCCCCCCCTTCCCTCGGGGGAATCCCCCTCCTCGCAAAACGACGAATCGTTTTCCCGCCTTCTTCTAATTTTACGAGCCGTTGACTCTCGATCGATGGAACGAACCGTATCGAAACAGCCGGGGGAAGAGGTGTGGGGGCCGTTTTCCGCCACGCGTCGTTGCCGTTCGGTGACGTAATTTCCAAGTGAAGCCACCACTGCGTCGGTAATGAGATCAGAGAATTCGCAATGGCGGACAAACAGAACGGGAACCACGGGAACACAATTCTCCCATCCGACTAACCTCTCTCTCTCTCTCTCTCTCTCTCTCTCTCTCTCTCTCTCTCTCTCTCCCCACAACTCGACCAGTGTGTTCTTTCTGTTTGCAGATCACCAAGCTGAAGATCGACAGCAATCCGTTCGCAAAGGGATTCCGTGACTCGTCGCGACTCACCGATTTCGAGAGGTAAATCTTTCAAATTATTACACACACTGTTCGTCCGAAATACGAACACACGCGAGTCTGTCTGTCTCCAAGAGAGCTCTGCCACGGTTTTACTGCTCGAGGAAAAAAATGCATAATCGAGCAGCTTCCCTTTCAGGGAAACGATGGAGTCGATGCTGGCGGAACAGCAGACGCTGAGGTTTCCCCATCGACTTCCGTTCGAGATGGATCAGCTTCAGGCGGGCGCGGTGAGCAATCTGAGCCTCGAGGAGAAGGCACTTTGGGCGGCCAGATCGCAGATGCTGCTGAGAGCCGCGGCAGCGGTCGCGGTGAGTCCGTACGCTCAGCTCGTCGGTCCTGCTCTGGTTTATCCGGGCGCGTCGCCAGCCGGTACCAGCCATCAGCAGCAACAACATCAGCAGCAACAGCAACAACAGTTGGGCCATCTATGGTGGGCATCGTCGATCGGGCCGACGTTGTTCGCTGCGGCCCATCAACAGCAACAGCAGCAACAACAACAGCAACAACAGTTGGCCGGTTCCAGCTCACAGAATCCAGGCACGACGAGTCCAGCCGCGCCAAGACCTCTTTATCCATCCGCCCTCGCGTTGGCGCACCATCGATTCTCCCCTTATCACACGACACCCGCCGCAGCGCCGAAATCCTCCACACCTGTCGGGTCGTCGTTGTCGCCCGCGAGACGCGCGACACCGTCGCCCACCGACAGCTTAGGCAGAGACGTTCAGGATCTCTCGCCCTCGTAGTGGTCGTCGCGTCCCGGCCGTTTCCTCTCGATCGTTCATCGGTCGGTATTGTTCGCGTTGTCGCGTGGCTCGAGAATCTCGGGACCATTTTCGGGCGTTTCATTGCGCCTCCTATTTCTCCTCCTCGTTCACATTCGATACCCGATATTTTTTTTTGTTTCTTGGATTCTTATTTCACCAGGGGCACACCGTGACAGGGGGTCAAGTCCGACTTTGGACGGGTCGATTGGATTTTAGACGACCTCTCGACGATATGGTAAAAATTATCGAAAAGGACACCCCATTTGCCATCCCAAAGTGGAATAGTCGCATGCCAGTATAGACGACGTGACCCCCGAGTGTAGCTCGCGTTATCGACGTTGTCATCACGAGGATCGGATTGTCTAACGTCGCTCGTGAACACCCGGTGTGACCTCGTCGGGTTCGTTGATGGTTTCCGTGCAAAATTCGGAATATACTCGATCGCTCGAACCGAATACTGCCTGTACCGGTGGTGGGGCGACAAGGTATCGCGGAACCAGATCGCAGTTGGAAAGAAGAGAATCGCCGTGCACGTTACGGTCCTCGACACGTAATGGATTCTCGACCAGACACAACAACGTTGCACGGCCGCGGTCTAATTGTACATATAGAGGTATGGAGATATGGATTTACAGGTCTTAGGTAATATCATCGACTTCGTTCGTGTAACATAAGTTGTATATTTCCGTATCATGAATTATCGTTATCGTTATCGTTATTTATGTTTCGACTCCGTACTCTGAACGTGGGATAGACGCAAAGCGACGACACGGATTGGGGGTAAGAATTTCTGATTGGTTATAAGTACATATATGTGCGTTGTACGTGCACCGAAGTTGGGGTGGTCGTTTGGACAAGAAAGAACGACAAAGATGTAGCAAAGTGGACCGATCGTGTCGCGCTTTGCGCGTTTCTCACGGTAGCTTGAATCGACGATCAGTATCGCCGCGGAGGCGGTTAGCCTTAGATTAGAGCGTTATATCGTTGATGCTTGTGTTGTGAAGACGCGTACCTATCGCTGTGCAAGCTACTCCCTTGTAAATAAACCCTAATAAATCTCTTGTACCGAGCCTACACGCTCGTTCGTTTTATCCCTTCTTATACATTCCTTTTCCTGTTTTACGCAAGATCCCCAGTTTTTCGACAATGTCAATCTACAGGCTTCTCTCGATTATTGTCCCGAAAATTTTATTAAACTTTCTGTATAGTTGTAAACTTTGGTATATCTTCAGGCATTATTGAATATCCAACATTTCCGTTTGTCCTGTAGACTTCTGTATACAGGCTCTTCTCGATTATTGTCCTTAACTCGGATCAACACTGGGACAATAATCGTGTAGGAAGAAATGCTTCAGATAACAAATTATGCGCTCTACAGGCATACTCTCATAACGCCTGGACAATAATCGTGTAGAACAAGTCGGACAATAATCGTGTACCTACAGCTTCTCTATTGGTTTTATTCAGTGAAAATGAAGATGTTGGCTCGAAGGAAAGTCGATTTGAAATGGTCGTGTTCGCGCGACTCCATGACCAAGAATTATTATCTTCGAAACGGTTTCCTCGCACAGGTATACTACAGAACGGTAAGGAACCGGATTCGTTTGGGAAATTGTTGCTGGTTGGTGTATTACGAGGATCCATCGCGGCTTGAACCCAGCTCGGAGCGCCGCGTGTTTAAGCGGAATGTTCACGGATCCGTTCGGTTAACCGAGGAACAGGATACCGGCGTTTAAGGGCATCATCACGCGATCCTCGAAGCTAACCACGCGATTAGGGGATGGAGTCCGTTGGAAAGGCGAAGAACATGGTGGGGTGGTAGGGGCTGACCGCGGAACTACGATTCCCGGAGGCACGGATTCGCGGGCCAAAGGTAAGGAAACGAGCATGCGTTCGAGAAGATTCGTGGGACTGAGAAATCGAAGAATCTACGTCCGTTATTCTAAGTGCTGGTCCAGCTGGAGACTTTTTTTTTGGTTGTATACAACTCAATACGAACAACACCAACTTTAAATTCGATTTCCACGTCGAAGCGTTCTACGGAGCTGTCTTAAAAACTCGAGTCAAATGGACCCAGGCACCGTCCCGCAACGGTTAAATCGCTAATTTCTAGACACAGAGAAAGAGAACCAGACAGATAGGAGGACAGGTGAACGAACCGAAGGAAAAACCGAGAGATGAACATTTCTGGCCCTTCTCTGGCATTCTTTCTCCTGTTTCCTACACGTTTCTTCGGCCACTTCTGCCCCGTTCCGCGAGTCTCTCGAGCAACCGAGCCGCGATACGCCCATTTCCTGGCCCGATACGCGCCGCGTCGTTCCTCCTTCCTTCGCCCAGTGTTTCGCGGCCGAACGGATGGCGAAAAAACCAGCGTGGTCGGGGGACAGCGAAAGAGAGACAGAGCGAGCCGAGAGAGCGACTAGTCGGCGGCGTCGGCGCGGAAACGAGCGCAGGGATACCCGGTTCTCGCCTAATTTGCTCGGTAATGTCCCGCCGGGAATTAACGAGCAGGGCGAGCACAAGGATGGAGGGGTGGGGACGGTCGGTAGCAGCACCTAGTCGACATTAATTATGTCCGCTGCCACAGGTGCCAACAACTCGATTATCAGATCTCGATCCGATCCCGATCGCTCGTTTAGATTGCGTTGCGCCCGCCGTGGAACACGATTCCTCCTCTCACTCCCTCCATCTGTACGCCCCCGTGTGTACAAGTTCTCTCCCTGTCGACGCGCTCGCGCGCACTTTTCCTCGCCCGTTTCCGTGTTTTCTTGCCGTTGCACACAACGCGTGTTTACCTGTTTCCTGTCGACCACCGTCGTCGATGCATCGTGTGGATATCCGTGGGCGTGGAAAATCAAAAAAAAAAAAAAACAGTCTAAGAAACTAATACATATCCTCCAGTTTGTATTTGCTGATATCCCGGAACTGTTAGGAATGGCCAGTCTTTGTCGAGAAATAGAAAAAGGATGACGATTATAACGGATCAGAGGACGTTCTTTTGGATTTTAAACGGTTCTGAATACATACGATGGAGGGGCTTGTAGGGGAGGTGAAAAAAGGGCTTGCCGCGATATAAAATGGCGGTCGGCGGTGGATGGCAGCGCGGGGTGTGTATCGATTGGCTCTTGAAACGCGGCGGTGGCGGCGGCTGCGGAGTAGGTAGATATAGGTATGTACAACGACGCGTGGTTGCACGAGTGTCTGCGCGTAGGTGCGAACCACAGGGCATCGTTTCGCGTGGGTGGCTCGGATAGCACCCGTGCCACCGTGGGCACGGGCGTTACTCGCCGTTTCGTGTCGCGCTGCGCCGCGCGCGTTCGCTTAAGCGCCTATTAATTGATTGAATTAATTTGCCAACGCGTTACCAACGACCGTGCCGGGGATACCCTGGCGCACGATGAATTCGTTACCGATAGATATACAGTGAGAGTCAAAAGTGAGTATACTGTTTCGAAGTGTGGGATTCGTTCATATTTATTTCCTTTTTAGAATCTACACATTTCGCATAGATGCTCTATTACAATGAGATTTGGCGACTCTGGGGGAGGACTTAACTGAACGAAAGTGTTGCCCAGCAAACAATTTTTGAACACGTTTATTGGTATATTTTGAGTCATCGATCTCACTGAAAAACAAACTCGAGTTGAAGGTTGAGAGAATTTGAGTTGAAAATATTTCAATTGTCTACATTTGTCCATAGTACTGTGAAGAAAAATTGACTGTACTACACCAGAGGTTGTAAAACTGCCCCAAATTATAATTGGTACATTCACCAGGTTTAACGATGTTTACAAAATTTTTTAGGTTATGGCGCTGAATTTCTTTTCCTCAACTTTCTTGGCTGACTATGCATTCTGTACAGTACTACTCACCTTGTTACGCTAGAACTACCAAACCCATAAAAACAACGGATTCCCGATGTTGTATTTTACAATTATTTAAATCCTAGAGATACTTTCATCAGAATTTATGTTAACCTCTAATTTCTTATACACTTTATATTGTAGTATACTGAGTTATATTGCAGTATATATTACACAATTTAACTCATCATATATTCAATGCTAGTAGTTCTAGCGTTAAAAGAAATCGGTACCAAAAATATTGCCTTCCTAGGCACGCGTCGTCCAACAATGCCACGGGGACGGTTTCTCTGTTCGAGGTACAACGTGTAATCCGAAAGTTTGACGATAGATGCGCGCGTGTCTGTGAAAATATTTCGATTACGGTATACATTCACGAAGTGAACGCGACCAAAAAGTTGGTCGACCTGCGTTCCCAGTCTTTTCGTTACAATAGGATTACGGAAAATCGGAACGAAATGGTGGGTGGTTAGAGGGGGGAGAACAAGTCGAAGGGGAGCAAGATCCGTCCAGGCACGCGATCGATCACGATCGATTACAAAGCCGTCTCTTCTCCGCTCGAGGTCTCGTCTTCCGAGAATCCTGGAAATTCCTTTCGAGTACTTTTCTCTCGAATGCGACGGTGGCCGTTTACACGTCCAAATAATTCGCGCAAACTGACTTGCGCGCATTACATGTCCAGTCTACCTTGCAACTGGTATTCTATGAATTTTTTATGAATAAACTACAATTAGTTTTTTTACTTTTCTATCAATTTTATCAACTTTATTTGAGTTACTTAAGCTACTTTAAAATACTTAAATGGAAAAAAAATTTACAGAAATGTTTTTCCTTTTAGCGAAGAAAATTTATTTTTTTTTAATTTTTAAGAAAAAAAAGTTCGTCGAACAAACCGAAGGAGAACAAGTGACGTTGCCGCTCATAGCAAACATGCAACATGCGTACTACGAAAAGCATTGAAATCTAAGTTTACATACTTTGATTTTAATTTTTAGTTTCATTTGATCATCACCTCAGTAAAAAAATCCACAGCCACCTAATTCTTCATGAAAATGTCATCTTTCTTAACTAAATAATTAGTGATTATCTTCTGGGTATCAACAGTTCCACAAGCCT